AATATCTACTTTTGTTTAACATAGTTTGCCCTTTAAGTTTAAGTTTCGTTTGGGCTCTTTCAGCACTTTATGGAGATTAGTTCTAGTGACACTCTTCCACGTGGTTCTGAATTAATTAAGTAAATCGATTTCTTTCACTTGGCTGAAAAGCAGCTTAATCATCATTTTGCTCTAGTTTTTTTCCCCTATTCTCCTCTCTTCTGCTCCTCATAACTTATACCAACACCTAAAGAATTTTCTACAGAAAGATGACTAATGATTAGCCCCTTCATGATTCCCCATTGGTTAGAACAGCTACATGTGACTTTTAGCAATTATAAAGCCAAAAAGATTCAAAGAGAACCGGAAAATACTTGATGTGCAGTGTCCATATGGTGGTGCAATGTTTTAGTCATGACATTGCAGCTCTGCATCAGTACATGATGATGTTTGCTCACAAATCGCACAAACCAATGTCAGAATGTCAGCATATGTCTATCTGTGACTTTCATATACTCCATTCAACACTATCACCCCTCTCCCACTCTTCCTTTCCTCTCACACCTACCTGGTTGATGGGAGGGAGGGACTGTTCCCCCTCTCTCCCGTCCTGTTCCTCACTTCTTTCTGCCTTCTGAGAAGGAGATTTTTTCCTCTCACTTTACTACTTTCAACTACACATTTTCCCCCCCGGCTGCTTAGGTGGATGGTAGGGAACCTGGTGCCTCTGGTGAATTTGATCAGTGTTCCCCATCTATATCAGTGCAACATAGAGAGTGTGTTCCACCTGTTTAGATGAGCTATTACCAGCAGGAGAGTGAGTTTGTGTGTGTATGGGGGTGGGGGGGATGTGAGAAAACCTTGATCTATGCAGGAAATAGCCCGACTTGATTATGTAAAGAGTTGTCACTTTGGATGGGCTAGCACCAGCAGGAGAGTGAATTTGTGTGGGGGGATGGAGGGTGAGAAAACCTGGATTTGTGCTGGAAATGGCCCACCTGTTGATCACTTTAGATAAGCTATTACCAGCAGGACAGTGGGGTGGGAGGAGGTATTGTTTCATGATTTCTGTGTGTATATAAAGTCTGCTGCAGTTTCCACGGTAAACATCTGATGAAGTGAGCTGTAGCTCACGAAAGCTCATGCTCAAATAAATTGGTTAGTCTCTAAGGTGCCACAAGTACTCCTTTTCTTTTTGCGAATACAGACTAACACGGCTGTTCCTCTGAAACCTTCCACCTGATAGGAGCCACATTCAGATCTGTGGACTCTACAAGTCTCTAAGAGCCTTCTGTGGCTTATAAGGTCCTAGATTGAGCTTCAGCAAGTATCTCTGGGCTAATGTGTGCTGGAAAGCTGATAACTAATCGTTTATCTGGAATGACAGATCCAGTTTTTGTCTGATCTGTGATATAAGAAGAAAGTTCATTGTTAAACTCTCATCCTATAAGTATCAGACTAAAGATCTTATCCAGCTCCCATTACAGCTGTTTTTCCATTAGAAAAACATGCATTGCCTTTATTAGGAGTTGGTTGGGCCCTAAGAAACCAATTCATTTTTTTTATTTGAAGAATCAGAATAAAAGGCATATACAGGTGTTTCTCCATATACTAAATTCAAGTTTTCAGTGAAAATGAAAACAGACACAGAGGGACAAGATGAAACAAATTAAACATGCACAGCTTCTAAGTAAATGGACATGAACAGATTCCTGAAACAAAACAGGGTAAACAAAATTATTCAAGGGTTTGTGAATAACGCACGTGAGGAGAGATGGAGAGAGCCATTGTGTTAAATTATCCAAGGTACAAAGTCCAACTCAGCCAATCATATACCATCATTTACAAAAGTAAACAAAAGTTGGAGATAAATAGACTGGTACTAATTGGATTTTTTAGGTTAGCAACAAGTTGAAAGATTCTAGAAATGGGAAGTAATGTCTCACTGAAGTGCTTTTGGCTTCATTAATTTTATTGGGCTGAGGTTGCCATCATTCTTGATATTGTTTATCTGGGAACCACTGAAAGGGCCAGTGGGATGGGTGGGCTGGAAGGAGCAAGTTCATCATCATGGCTCCCATTATCCTTATCACTTCTAGGGGCCCCAGGATCCATGACAACACCACTGGGCCTTTATTATCCTGATCCTGAAAGATGTGCTAACCAGACAAAGCCATAGAGAGGGAAGCTTAATGGCATCAGCACCTCCGCCAGCTCCGGCTAGCTCCTGAAGAACATCTAAAATGTGAACCTGAGGTGCCTACTGTTATGCCCTTGTTCATGTGTCATTTTCTTTCCTCTCCTTATTTCTCCTCTTTTCTGTCTTTCTCTTTTTGCCTTCTGGCTAAAAAGAGCCTGCCTTAGTTGGACAAGACAACTCCCCCTTTTACAACACTGCTGTGAGCCTGTGCCCAGAAAGACCAGCTGAAAGCAATGCCTTAGACGGCCTGACACTGGTAAAAGTTTGCCAGGTTTAGGAGTGTCTGATAAGACCATGAACTGTACCTGTAATTTCACAATTGAGAGTGAATGTCGGAGACAGAAGCTGTATTTTCTATGTCTGCTATTCTTTTGTCTCCCCTTTTGTGTGAGTTTATCTTGTTTTCTTTTAAAGAAAACAGGATTTGACTTCAGTGACCACAGCTCAAGACCATTTGAATGAACTTTCTTTTATCCCCAAAAGGAACAGTTAATACCATCATTCATTCAATTTGAAAAGACTATCAAACAGAGGCTTTCTCTGATAAAAAAAGTCCTTAGAGCTAAAGGGAAACAGAATATAGGAAATCGTTCAGATGAAAGGCTTATTTACTTCTTAAGTTTCAAATGCTTTGCTGTTTTCCTTCCCCTTCTGTGTGTTTAATAAAAGGTTTAAAAGATTTTTAATTGTGGTTGTTACAATGGGAATAAACCAGCGATAATATGGCACAGACATATTCAATGTTGTAACAGTAAACAAGGGTCTTCTTAATACTTATCCCTTGGTGGGTCAAAGACACCCCCTTAACACAACAGAGCTAAATTTATAAGTCTAGAAAAGAGAGGACTCTGGGGGCACATGATCTTTGTCTATAAATATTTTCAAGATAAAGATATTTAAAGAAGGAACAGAACTGTCCACGATCTCAGGGAATGTTAGAACAAGGAGAAGTGGCCTTAAGCTAAGGAAAGGAATATTTAGGCTAGACCTGACAGGGAAAGTTTTTAACAAGAACAACTGGCCAGTAGAATGGCTGTGCTTAAGATGCCATTACTGCAGATATCCAAAGACAGAAGCAATAAGACATTAATGGAAATGATGTAGTGAAGAGCCCAGCAAAATTAAGAAGGTCAGATTAGGTGACCCAAGTGGTCATTACTGGCTCTACTGCTAAACAATTCCATGAAAATGGATTGTTTTTCAAACAGTATTTCTTTCAACCGGTGTGTTAATACGTTAATTCATTAAGTGTCAAAGCAAAGTATCACAGTTTTAGAGAACGCATGGACAAATCCTGTTATCTATGGTAATTGACTCATGTCACAAAACCCAAGCTGCATGGCAGTTGCTAACTTATAATTGCGCTAACATAAAATATAATTCAGACAAGTTTTTCCAGGGTACATTTGAATCATCTTCTCTGTGACAGCATTATTTGTAACAGTTAACATGTAAAGTTTTATGCTGTCATAAACGGCAGTTTTATTCCTGACACTTCTGTCTAGCCTAACCTAAGGACTGATGTAACTGGAGTTGCTAATATTTACTATGCCTCTTGTGACCTACCAAAAAGAGAGCAGATTGCACATTCAGTGAAAAGGGCTTACTCTGGATGTCTTGCTCTATAAACTAAAGAAAAGGGAGAGAAATCAGCTTACAGACTCCTATTTGCTATCGTTGAACTTGTATTTGCTATCTAGGATGGATTGTTAGAACTATGAATGCATTCAGTGTTCTCCATTTTGATTTTTATGAGCCCACAGGAAAAACCATGTTGTTCATGACCTTCATCTCATCCTCCAATACCTCACATGTCCCCTTTCCTGAGTCTAGGTCTATGAATTCCTAATGTCCCATCACTCCAAATCGTAGGCACATGAATAAATAAAAATTAAATGTGTTAATGTCAAAGTTTTGCTTTTCTTTCCTTTCGGTTTAATAAAAATACTGTGTGTTTGTATAGTGCTTTCCATCCAAGGATCTTAAACATCCTAGCAATGTGGATCAGTTTTCTTAGCCTCATTTTATAGGTGGAGAAACTAAGGCACAAAGAAGTTAAGTGAATTGCCAAGGTCAGCCACTGAGTCACTGGCAAAGTGAGGAATTGAACACAGATCTCTCGGATCTAAGTTGCCTGCACTAGCCAATAGATAACACCATCTACCTTCTATTTCTTGTCTCCAGTGATCATTTTTATAAAATCACCATTCTATTTTTCTTTTTCACCTTGCCTAGTTTGCCTTCCTCCTAATCTGCCTTCTAGTCCTCTTGTTTCCCTCTCTAACTTGGTTCACACACAAGGAATAATGGGACAGGAGGATCTTCAGGGCTTGATTTTCCTCTTCTGTGCTGTGTTCTTTTGAGTTCAGTGGCCACATCCTTTATCCTTGAGGTGCAGTCTGAAGGAAATATTGCCTCAGTGCTGTGTAGCTGGCTTCTATTCAGCATGAGAGCTGTCTACAGCTGTGAGGTAGCCTATGGCCAAAGGTTACATTGACAGCTCCATAGAGGAAGGACTGCAGCAGAGCTTAGTGCAGCTTGTGTCAGTCACCCAGCTCTGTGAAGATACGGAAGTTTAGGTGTGGCATAGAAGGAACCCTCATCCCATGGGAAGTTCATTAAAAAGTGGCTTTAAAGTGATAAATTATTAATATTTGTTTTAAAATGCAAGAATCAGATTTTGTTTTTTCAGTATTTTAATATCCCAGATTCACCTATATCAGCTTTATCATTTGGTTGTATGATCTCATGAACAACTGATTTGTTTGCACTGAGGTAAATGGACAGTTTATTCATATGTCTTGTCTGTGACTTTCCTTAGGAGTGTCCCAGTGGGATTGTTAATGAAGAGACCTTCAAAGAGATTTATTCTCAGTTCTTTCCACAGGGAGGTGAGTACTTTGCAGACATAATTAGCATTGCTAGCATTTACAGAGAACTGCGCTTGTGAATTTCTAAATTGGATTATCAGCCCATTGTTCATATTAATAAACTGTTGTATAAAGTTCTGTAGAGAATTGTAAGTATCTTAATGAATAGAAGTGTTCACAGGCATGTATGACAGTAATCAAAAAGAGGAGGTATTTACAAGGTGTCAGGATATAGTTGTGATACACAATCTGAGTATCTTTGAAAATCAGGATTTTCTCAGCATGTCATCTCCTTGTAAGCTTTAATGCAGCTATGTCTTTGCTACTCTTTGTCCCCTCCCCCCAAGATCTTACACAATAGGAATTTGTGTAGGAGGTAGTTTAAATGTGTGGGCCAAATTCAAATCTAGTGTAAGAGGGTGAAATCCCATTAACGTCAGTGGGATTTCTTTCCCTACTCCAGGTCTTTTTTCATCCTCTTTATTCAGTGAAATAGTTTCCAGTGATGTTCAGTAATTTCTCAATCTTCCCCATATTTCAGTGAAATGAAAGTACACAATCACTTATGACTAATGTTTTTTCTTGAACCTCAGATTTTCCTTTAGTGTTTATTTCCCCCCCCCTTTCCTTCTACTGTTCCCTCCCCACTTCTTTTCTATTCAGTTCTCCTTGTTCATCTCTTCCTAAAATGCTGGAGAGTGGAAGATTTCCATGGAGCTACCTGGCAATGGCTGTTGCTTTTCACTTTTATGTAAAACCTTAATTAGTAGCAACCAAAACTCCCAATTAGTTTTATTTTAAATAAAAAACTAGAAGGTAAAGGGGTAGTAAACCCAAGTAAAGGGGTTACCACTGTTGAAACCCACAGCAAGCAGGAACATTCAAAAGGAAGAACAAAACATTTAAGAAGAGTAGAACTGCCTGATGATTGTCTAACTGTCTAGTTTTTTATTCCAATCAGTATAAAACTGTAGTATCAGTTATAAGTTATCCTGGTTTGTAAAAGGTAGCTTTTCCCACATGCTTTAGCAAGTTAAAGCAACAGAAGAAAGAAACTATGAACATCCTATCTTCCATATTTTCACTAATAGGCATTCTCCAATCTAGACCAATATAACAGAACTCACCCTTTTTTACTCTTGCTTCATATGATGTTGGTAAAATACATGAAACAAATGTTACAGCCATATAGGGCTTGTTACTGCAAAGCACTGCGCATTCTCAGTTCCAAATGATTTTAAGACCATAGAGTGAAATCCTGACCCCACTGAAGTTAATGGCAAAGCTCTCACCCATAGCATGTAGGCTTTCCTGAATTGAGAAACTTCTTTTCTACATATTTCTCAAAGGGGCTCCACATATACTAATATCATCTTTTAATGTGGACAAATATAGAGGTATCAAATCCAGTGAATTCATTCATCAATAATAGGAGGTGTTATGGAGAGCTAATAATGTGTTTATCCTTCAGAGGTTTTTATAGCAGTTCATCAGAATTTCATGATTGTAACTCCACTCTCTACCTCTCATATCTCTGCTCATAATTCTCCTTGAACCACGAGGAATATAAATTACATTAATTAAAAAAAAATTCAAACATGTGAACAGCTATCACCATAAATTTAGTATATGATCTATTGGGATTGTGAGAGAAGATAGCATATAAGGCCTGCTTTTTCTTTTGGTTAGACCAGTTTTACATCAGTGTAACTCTATTGACTCCTATGGAATTAGTTATGATTTGCACTAATGTCAATAAGCTCAGAATCTGTCCCATGATGTTTCTCTTTTCTTAGGGCACTTCACATTGAACAGAGGTTCAAATGTATGAATGAGACCACAAGATTCTTTGAGGACATTGTTAATAGTGGTTCCGTTATAAACCACATCCACATACATAATTTCCTTAAACTCACTGTTCCCAGTTCTAATATGCTTGATTGTATTCTTCATTAGAGCTATCATATTGTTAACGTGCAAGATTCAAGTAATTCTTATAAAGTATATAGGAAGGATAGTGATCGATATGTCAGTCATATTTGGGGATATATGTTCCTATTTCAGTGCATGGCAGGTGGAATTTTTAAAAGTGTCCAGCATTGACCTAACTCTGCTCCCATTAAAGCCAGTAATAAAACTGGCATTGATTTCAATGGGAGCCAAGTTAGCCCAATGCAGAGTTGCTTTTTAAAATCCCAAACAGAAACATCACTCATTTACAAAAGTCAGGCCAGTTATGTAGCCAAATTTTCATTGCAAGAAGCACATACTAAAGAATGTAATCCTTACTTGGGCAGAAAACTGCACAGAGATTTGCTTGGGTTAGGATTACAACATTCAGCTGTATTAGGAATTTCCAGTCGTTTAGAATAAAGACTTTGATCCTACTCAGAGAGCCACAAGGGCTGCATGGAGGTTCATTGGTTTTATTTGGGCTCTGTGCAGGTGCAGGGGTTGACCTGTGCAGTTCTCTGTGTGGGACTGACACTAAAGTCAATTCTTTGCTCCTCAGGTATTCAAGATGCCTTGTTAGTGCAATAATTTACAGATACCATGCATACATTTAAACTGATCCAGATTATCAGATGTAAACTCCTAAACAAAGGGCGAGATTGGGTGCTGAGCTCTTTTGAAAGTCTCGCCAAAACAGTCTATGTATTTAGAGTCAGAGAGGTTTAGGCAAGAAGGGGCCACCAGATTATCTAGTCTGACTTCCTGCATATCACAGGCCACCAACACCACCCAGCACCAGCACACTAAACCTAACAACTAAAATTAGACCAAGTATTAAAGCTCACAGGAGACTAAATTGTTATGTGCCACACGCAGAGCGTGGGAAGGACTGAGGTGCATCAATGCCAGAGGTCCCTGCAGTGGCAGGGAATTGATTGAGTGAGCTATACCTCGATGATCCCAGCAAGTGACCTGCATCCCACAGAGGAGGTCACTGCCCATCTGACCTTGGGGAAAATTCTTTCCCAACCCCACATATTGCAATCAGTTAAATGTGAGCAAGAACCAGCCAAAGCAGGATGCCATCTCAGAGAACCATCCCACCCTGTCCAATGTCCCACCTCTAGCTGTGGCCCTCTCTGCTGCTTCACAGAAAGAAGACCAAAAAAATCTGAGAATACACTGGAGAAAAAAATTCCTTCCTGACTCCTGCAGATGACCAACTGTGAAACCCTTAAGCATGAGATTTCAGTAACATAAGACATAAACCGGAAGGGATTTCGCCCAGGGCTGCTGAGCCCTACTCTCCTCCTAACCCCACATTTGAGACCTTCAGTTAGTTTGCAGTTAAATTTTCTTGGATTGGTTTTATGTATATCGGATTATTCAAAAGAATACATTGATTAGCTAACTATAAAGAAATAGGTGTGGTATACACCTAAAATCATCATTCCTGTATTATATGTAGCTATGTGCATCAGCAGCTCATATAGTATAAACCAGGGATCAGCAATCTTTGGCACATGGCCCGTCAGGAAAATCCACTGGCGGGCTGGGATGGTTTGTTTACCTACAGCGTCCACAGGTTCGGCTGATAGCAGCTCCCACTGGCTGCGGTTTGCCGCTCCAGGCCAATGGGGGCTGTGGGAAGCGGCACGGCCGAGGGATGTGCTGGCTGCCGCTTCCCGCAGTGCCTATTGACCTGGAACAGCGAACCGTGGCCAGTGGGAGCTGCGATTGGCCAAACCTGCGGATGCTGCAGGTAAACAAACCTTCCTGGCTCGCCAGCGGATTTCCCTGATGGCCGTGTGCCAACGGTTGCCGATCCCGGTGTAAACAATACAAAAAATGAGACAACTTCTTGTTAGATCATCCCATTCCATTTGAGGAAGCCAACTACGGTGTAACATTTCCTCTGTACAGTAATCAAGCAACTTCCACCAGTCCTCAGGACATTAGTTTCACATGTTACCAGGCAAGTCATTTCATTAAAGTGCAGGAGAAGTGGGAAGGAGGGATAGAAAGGGGACAAGAGAGTGATTTGGGTTCCGAATAACAAATGGATGATGAAGAACTATAGTAAAATGAACATGTTTTATAAGGCAAAAATAGTTTTCAGAAAAGCTTTTTACATTATAAAAGCACTCAATTAAGGTAGCTGCATTAAATTCTCTAGCATATAGGAAAATCATTGCAGTATTTGTGAAGGAAGGGGGGCGCACTGCCTCCCAGCATTCAATGTTCAATTCAACGGTTGTGTTTACATGCCACCAAAAATATAACTTAGGACTTGATCCCTAACCTTTCAGGTCACAGATAACAGTGGATTCACTGGGCCATTATTAAATTGTTTACCCTTGATGTTCAATGGGATGCTGGTGGGTGCATAGTAGCTACCCCTTCTGTTTGTATAATTAAGATGTTTTAAGGTACATGATATGAATCTCAAACAAATTATGACTTTTATATCTGTCCCTTCTGCAACCTGCCAAAATGTTAATGTATCCTACTAGTTATGATTCCTGGGCATTGAAGAGAAACTGTATTTCATTAAAAAGTCAAGCTCTGTCTGCAGTGAATAATATTCAAGATTTAGTGGGAAAGAGATCGCATTAAGTAGCTCTACTTAAAACATTAAAGTACCTCACTCTGCAGTCTTTTTTCAGGCAAAATTCCAGCCATCCTCAATCAGTGTTTTACCTGCACAAGGACTGCAGGAACAGGGACCTAAAGAATACTTTTAAATATACAAACAGAACACTCTCAAGAAAAGATTCTGCAAACATGGGATTATTTTTATTCATATATCTTGATACAAATGAGAATTAAAAATAGAATTGTGTCCCTTCAGCCATGTGTGGTCTCAACAAGGCTGTAAACCATAGAAAATCGTTTCTTTAACACATTTATATTCACTCTAAACAGACAGTAAATAAACAGGAACACTTTACCATGATAGTGAGAAAATTTATTAAATAATCAGTGCACATTGTACACAGTGTACAATTATAATTCTGTAATAAACAAAAGTTACTGCAGACAGTTCCCATAGCACCTTCCACAGCACA